CAGAACTTCGAGAGTTGTTTCGGGCCCCTGGGGTTCCCGCACAAAACCTTTTACTGCTTTTCGAAAGAGCCTGCATACGGAATCGTTACATAAGTTATTAATTACGCCATACGGTCGTCAAAGATTTAACCCTGAGAATTATACAACTCACGAACCGCATGAAAATTTTATCGCAAATCCTTCAGAGAGTCGCAGTCAGTATCTAACGTCGTCAAAGGAGAAACGGACGAGTTCACGTTTATATCACCTCGGACCTTTAGTCGTAGGTAGACTTCATTAGTACCACTGGATTCTTTATTCAAAAAGTTCTAATTCTCTGTGATGTAAGCATTTCGAGTAACAAAATTCGGATACCTTATACAACAAACATTTGTCGATTACTCTAAAGTTCAAATTATTAAAGACAAGGAATAAAATATTCGATAATACAATTTGTTAATTGTCACATTAATATCGTGACGATTTTCATTTGCAATTTATCAAAGAGCTCAAGAAAAAAAGAAAATACGAAGAAAGGAGATACAGCGTCTTCAAAATCACAATTCAGCCCCCTGTTCACTCTACAAAGAAATTTCAAACCTCAGACTTAAAATACCTCGGATGAAATTCATTCAGAATTTACCAAAAAAATCCCAAATAAACAGAAAAGAAAAATGTAAAAAAGGAAAAAGGTGGAGTGTCTTCACAATCACAATTCACCCCCCTGTTCATCCTACAAAGAATCTTCAAACCTCAGAATTAAAATACCTCGGATGAAATTCATTCAGAATTTACCAAAAAAATCCCAAATAAACAGAAAAGAAAAATGTAAAAAAGGAAAAAGGTGGAGTGTCTTCACAATCACAATTCACCCCCCTGTTCATCCTACAAAGAATCTTCAAACCTCAGAATTAAAATACCTCGGATGAAATTCATTCAGAATTTACCAAAAAAATCCCAAATAAACAGAAAAGAAAAATGTAAAAAAGGAAAAAGGTGGAGTGTCTTCACAATCACAATTCACCCCCCTGTTCATCCTACAAAGAATCTTCAAACCTCAGAATTAAAATACCTCGGATGAAATTCATTCAGAATTTACCAAAAAAATCCCAAATAAACAGAAAAGAAAAATGTAAAAAAGGAAAAAGGTGGAGTGTCTTCACAATCACAATTCACCCTCCTGTTCATCCTACAAAGAATCTTCAAACCTCAGAATTAAAATACCTCGGATGAAATTCATTCAGAATTTACCAAAAAAATCCCAAATAAACAGAAAAGAAAAATGTAAAAAAGGAAAAAGGTGGAGTGTCTTCACAATCACAATTCACCCCCCTGTTCATCCTACAAAGAATCTTCAAACCTCAGAATTAAAATACCTCGGATGAAATTCATTCAGAATTTACCAAAAACTCTCAAATAAAAAAAAAAAAGAAAGAAAAAATGAAGAAGAGATACAAGGTGGAGGGTCTTCACAATCACAATTCGCCCCTCTGTTCGCCCTACAAAGAATTTTCAAAACTTAGCATTAGAATACTCCGGATGAACTTCATTTAAAATTTATTAAAAAATCCCAAATAAACAGAAAAGAAAAATGTAAAAAAGGAAAAAGGTGGATCGTCTTCACAATTATAATTCACCCCCCTGTTCATCCTACAGAGAATCTTCAAAACTCGGGATTAGAATACCCCGGATGAACTTCATTCGAAATTTATCAAAAAATCCCAAATAAACAGAAAAGAAAAATGTAAAAGAGGAATAAGGTGGAGCGTCTTCACAATTACAATTCACCGCCCTGTTCACCCTACACGGAATCTTCAAAACTCAGGATTAGAATACCCCGGATGAAGTTCATTCGAAATTTACCAAAAAATTCCAAATAAAAGAAAAACGAAAAATGAAAAAAGATGAAAGGTGAAGCGGCTTCCAAGATCATTTCATCGAGGGACGAGAAGTTGTATGAAGGAAGATTCATCCGCATACGCAGATCGTTCCCGCTGATCTTGCCGGGTTGCCGGGCCCCGCGTGAGGGACTTGAGAAGCGGCCGCGAACCGCAGGAAGGGTAGGAAAGAATTATTATGCGAAAAGTTCGTGCTCCTCGTTTCTTCCCTGATGGACGATTAAAACTTCCAGCGTCGAATTTACAAATTCCTTCGGGGGCTTCGCGCTGGCGGAGGCATTAGTTCGCCTCGCCTGGCAAACTTAACCGAGCCCTACCATTACCGACCTCGAATTAGAATTTAAATCTGCGGAACGACTCGCTCGTAATGGCTCGATTTCTTTCGTCACGGCTACGCGGCTGGCTAACCGCCCCGGGACACTCGACAGCTCGTCTTCTTCTTATTCTTCTAACCCCTTTTCCCCCTTTTTCCCCACGTTTCATCGCCACCAGCGTGACACCAAAGCACGGGTATTGGGAAATCCGCGAGTTAAATTCCCTTTCGATTCGACGTCGAACGCGTTAACGCTGCAATTACCAACTCGTAACGCGTATGCAAATGCGAGTGGTGCACGCTGATGATAATGATTAATCCTTCGTGGCGCAAGTCGCTATCGTCACTTTATCCTCGTTGATTCATAGTTAAGAATCTATTCGTTACATCTGGAAACGATACTTGTAATTTAATTCCATTTTCGTATCGTTTCTAATCAAGAACGTATCCATCTACACTGACACATTTCCATTAAATTAAATTATAACCCAAAGGGGCGTTTTATGTACGAAAATTGGGAAGAACCGTACGAGGGTGAAGTGACACTGGTGGAGATAAATATGTATGTACCGGGTGTCTAATTTTAATAAATTGCTCGTCCTTCTCTCATTTTTCCATCCGTCTGAAACGATCGTAACAAATTTCACGTTATTACGCCCTCGAATAATTTTCGGCTTCGACAGGCTAGCGCTACGATTTTATCGATCTCGATAAAACTCGATATCCATTTTACCGTGCATAACCACGCGTCCCCAGCGACAGGGGAAAGAACGGTAAGTTTAAAATCAGCCATTTCGACTCGTCTGGTAGTTCCGGCGCTAATCTCGCTTCGCGGGGTGGGACGTTAATAAAATTTCGGAAGCTCTTCCAGGGGTGGTCGCCACGTATGAACGTGTACATATTTAAGCGGCTTACAGTTCAACCGGTTTTCGCGACGGTAATTGGTTTATTGGGAAGATTAATAGCGGCCATGGCGGCGCGAGAGAGCTTCTGCACGAAGAAACAAGGTCAGGTATTACATAATCCTGCTCATTTCGTATGCACGCTGGAGGGGAGCAAACTGTCAGCGAGACTTTGACGATTAAATCTGATCTGCTACAGCCTGGATTAGAGGGCCCGCGGAGGGAACGGGGGTTACACCTGCCTTTTTGTTTTCCGCTGCAGGAGCCTGTCTTCATTTTCGTTTCGCATTTCAAATTGTTAATTGAAATGTCCGCTTTATGGCACGGGGGATTAATTAGTCGTAAACACGGCGCTGGTATTTTTAGCAGCTAAGGTCTCTGTTGCGAGTAATTACTTTCCTATCGATAAATTTATTTATCATCGTTAATGAGTACGTGCGGTATAATCGCTGCGTTTCTTTCCTATGATTTACTGTACAGGGTGTCCCGTGGGTCTACGTGCCGTCGATTTGTTCCGTGGGTAAATAGCACGAACGTGTCCTATAAATATAAGACCACGGATGTTTCATTAGAAAGTCGTAAGAGGATCGTGAAATGTGAAGGGCAACGACGATGTATTTACTCTTAATGTGATGCAAAGCAAGAATAGACATAAAATGATATTTGCGCTTCATATCGATGCAAATCGGTTTAGCGAATTAAGATCTTATTTACCGAATAAATTCAACTCGTCGATTTTCCAAACTATGCGACGATAGTTTGGTACTGGAGTAATATCGAATTTATTTGGCAAATAGAGCGCTAATTCGATATACTTCATCTGCGTTAACGAACCTCGGATTATTCTTCGTGTTCTATATTTTAATAGAATTTTCGTGTATCTTTTTTCATTATTTTCAGCTATGGAATACGGTAACAAAGTTCGCGCGGATATTTATAAGACACTCTGTACGTTTATTCGAGTCAAATAGAAACATTTCTCGCACTAAAATTTCCCAAAAGGATCGATACGTTATCGAACATGTTTGACAATAACTGTATAACTTCCGCGATTTATTAGCTATAGCGGATTCTTGTATAACACGTTCCAGTACGATGCAACGAAAAAATTGCGACTAGTACTCGTAAAACGCGGCAAACAATCTCGTCGAGGACGTAAAATAAATTCAACATTCCGACATATTTTTCAACGACGATTCCCGAAAAGTGAAGCAACTATGTTACTAGTTGACAGTGAATAAACCAATATCCCGACGACTACAGCAATATACGTGATCAGAGTTGGAACTCAAAACACGTTTAATCCTTCGTGCATGACATTCGTGCAATTTACGAACACTTGCGATGTCGGAATTTACCATACCAAATAATCGTGACAAGAATATCCCTAACAAATATCTCAACTTAAAAATATATTTTAAAAATACACAGAAACTCGATTTAAATTCAATTACACCTGAAAACTCGTATTAGACACAATCGGGAATTGTATGTCAACCTTGAAGAGTTAAACTCGCGTAAATTCGTCGGACAAAGCTTTAATTACTTTAACCTTGTGCTCCGTTTCTGTTTTCAGATTATCTGATTCTCTCTCCCGGCATTGTCATATTGAAAGTAACGGAGCGCATCGAAGCCCCGAAGGTAACGCATAAAACATAACCTTTCGCACGCGTGCAAAATTCGTTCGACGCGCTCTACTCGTCGGCCGCATGCGCACTGTTCGTTTCGGTAGTGTTCGGGAGTGCTCGTGCGTCGTCGCGGCGACGCGATGCGGGAGTGGGGATACGCCGGTCGAAGGGGAGAGATAGCGTAGTCGCGGTCCGATGGAAGAACCGCGCGGAGGGACGCGAGAGGGTGCGGAGTCCGCGTGTCGTTGACAGCAGCGGCGGCTAGCAGGCCTCGCTCAGGCGTCGCTCGACAGTCGAAGCCGGTCTCTCGGCGTGCGAGTATCGAGAGTATCGCGAGAGGGTTCGTTGCATTCGTTTCGTCGATAACGCGAACTTGTCACCTGTCAAACGGCGCTCGTTGTACGAATTCAAGTCGGCCGAGAGTTGACCCGATTAATTTCCGAGTTCTCCCGTCGTATTCGCCGCGTGTGTGCGCGCTTACGGACCATCCAGTTCTCTCTCCCTCCCCGTTGTGCGTTCGTTCGTGTCGTGCCGTTCGCCAGCCACGTTTCCGCTCGCGTGTGTCCAGTGTGCAGAAGTGTGTGGATGCCACGGCGGAAGCATAGCCGTCGAGATCGCCGCGAGGACGTTCCCCCTGGCCGGTTCACTCTCAGGTAAGTCTGTTCTTGTTACCGCGTGTTGCGGCGTCCCTCGCCACCGGCGTGTTGAAACGCCGTTTCGTTTGCAATTCCCGCCTCGTGGCGTATCTCGTACCGTTTCGCGTGCGACGTAGATCGCGATGGAGGTTATTGGCTCTTTCCACGGGCTACGTCCTCGGCAATTATCAACGTCGATTTGTTTACGTGCAGGGCGTAGCAAGGGGACGTAACTGGACGTTCGGAGAAACAGACACGCTGGTGGCGCAAGAGTCGCGCAACACGGTATCCTCTGTCCAAGGTTATGTTTTAATCCACTGAATTGAAGTTTCCTCCGAAACTGGTCGAACGACACGGTTCTCGCTTTTCGTTCGATTAAAAGCTCGGTTCCGTTCGTTTGATCAGCCGGAGCGGACCAACCACCTGGCAGCGTACACTTCGTACACCGACTAACCCAGTTACCAGTCGAATAAGAAGGCATGCTACGCGCGACCTACATAGACGTACCTAAAGCTCCGCGCGCGCTCGTCCGTGTTCTGCATCGGGATTCTTTTGAATTTTCGCTCCCGATATATCGGCGCAAAGTCACGGCGAAAAATCGATATACGATGTACCGGCTTTGATCCCTGACCCGGCAAGAGTGCGTGTGCCTGGCTCGCGATCGGTCGCCGGATAACACCACTGGAAATTCCGATTGGTCGCGAACATGAACGAAAACATTGCCGGTTATCTGGTAACGAATAGCGGGTGGCTTCGTCCGGTGATTACACGCTCTCTCGTTTCCGGTAACGAGCATTCGGAGTCGTGACTAGTGCCTGGTTCCTTCGTCTATATCATCGAGATTCGTTTAGCATTTAATTCTTCAATCTTGACCTTCTTGACTTTTGTTCTTAACCTAAGATCATTCTTCCACAGTTTATTTGGTGCTTTTGTTATAGAACGTGTCTCTTCATTAGAAAAATTGCAATATAAATTTCTACGTCTTGCAATTAATATAATTCCATTCTTAGGTACGATATTATTTTTTGAAATGTAATTCAAATATGTCGATATATATATTGATTTAGATTTGTATCGCAAAGCCAGTGTAACCCAAAATTACTTTTTCCAAATTTTCTTTGTATACCGTTTCATTCAAATTTTTTTACTTCGTTAAAATAATACAGACACATTTGTGTCACGTGTTAAATATTAAAGTATCGCGTTAAATAAAATTTATATTTCCTATATTGAATAATGATACAAATGGAGTTAGGTTACACTGGCTTTGATATATTTCTTTCTATGGTATTGACATAAATGTCATCGATTTTATGACGAAAAGTCTCTTACTTCTTTATAGCAAAAATATTTTGAAGTACAAAGAGTGAAATCTTACTACACTGGAGCACAGGAGAAAACTTGATGATATTTTCTTCGCGAATAGAGTAGTCAAGGAATCTATCACGTGTCATTATCGGAAAATTGAAATTCTATGTTTCATTCAAAATTCTTCGTGGTTCCGAACTATTTCGTATTGTACAGCATGGTATGTAACTGTTATGGTTACTTCCACCCATGCAATCATCCGTACTTACATTAATGCCAATTCTCCTCGTTGTTAGAGTAATCTTTTTAACCAATCGTCGCATTCGTTAGACCTTTCATTATTTTTCTCTTTTCTTTTTTAAGATTCTTTATTAATACCTAATTGTCCCACTCGCAATTACATACATTAACTTAATTGACATGTTAAAATAACGCGTGCATTTCGATATATTTATTGCCAATGGCTAGAATAAAATTAAAGGCATTGGAGTTGCTGAGTATAATTATGTACATAATATGTGTGCGTTCATTATGAAATATGTTTATGTATCTTTGTATTAGTTGATCGCCACATTGCTTTTATCGTTATCTTTTCCTGAGTCTATTAAGTGTGTTTCACCTTCAAATTATGGTTCTTAAGATTAGCTTTATGTGACCCGTTAATTTGACGAATGTGTTGCTCCAATTATACAGTATTATCAGATTTAATTAACTTATATTGTCTATTAATATCTTAATTGTTAAACTAATGTCAGTAGAAATAGGTATACAAAAATCATTCGTAAACTTAGTTTCACCCCTTCGCCTACAATATCGTGCGAGACTCGTGGTCGGGAGATTGGGTCGAACACGAGTATCACGAGTGGGAGACGTGGTTTGTACGGGCCCAATGTAAACACGATCAGGTTCGAACAGGTTCGTGGTTACTTTTCGCAAATGTTTTCTAGTGTCAGTTGCGTGTTATTCTTCGCCGTGTTCGCAAGATATGGCTCGAGGTGTGTCACACTGTTGACTATGGCACGTGCCGTCGAAACTTAAACGGTAAGGCAAGTGGTTGCGATAAAATACGTAATACGAGAAAAAGGATTACTATTATCGAATGCGTCGTATCGATTCTTTTCATCATTCTGCGAAAATGGTCCCTTTGGATTCATCCGAGGTCCGTGACTTGCTAATATGGGACATCGATGAAGGCGATTAAAACCGACCGGTTCACGAGGTAATCGTGATTTTCTGGTCGCTTCATGACGCGTCTGTCGACCGTCCATCGACTCTCCGTTTGTTGATATAACGTTACTTCGCCGCGTTGGTCCGTGTTATTTGCACGACGATTTGAATTCATTTCGCGCGAAGTCGCAAACGTGATCAGAAGTCGTATCAGACTTAGTGTCTAGGAATTGCCGACACCGTGTTTGCATAGTTGTTTCTTTCTCCCTTGCGAGCCTGCGTTAGCTGGCTCGATAGCGTGTAACTATGATATGGTATTTATGGATTCCACGGCGGTTCTGGTTCCATGTTGATTTAAGTGTTCCATGTTGATCTAAGTGTTCCATCGGTACCTGCACGAAGAGTATCGACAGTGATAAGGTACTGTTTGACTTCGCGTCGTTGATTTCCAGGGAAATGGAGTTTTGAAGGGTTATTCCGATCATTATGGAATCATTTGCGGCGAGCGTGAATGTTCATGCCGGTCTTATCTGTTTCTCTGGATTATCACGATTTTCGCTGTAAAATTATTCGGTTTGAAATCGAACCGAAAGAAAACTGCGAAGTTTACAAGTTTTAATTAATTTAAACTTTGCAGGTTTTGCAGGTTTGTAGATTTAGGCATCCAGTTCAAGAAAATATATCATTATAGGAGTAACTACTCGATAACTTTTGAGATATTTATGATTAGAGTTTTATTATTGCCTTAATTACAGATTTATTTCGAATATTTATCAAATGTCGTTGTGGCCTAATGATGACATACGAAAATTCCCAGGTTGGTGGTCTGAGGTTTTATAATAAATTTTATTTACTATTTATTTAAAATTATATGTTTTCATGGGTGAAAAATTAATGCAAAATAGAAAATGGATGGATAAAAAGCTATTAATCACAGACGGGATCGAACACAGACCACCAGTGTAGAAATTTTCGGATGTTAGGCCACAATGGCACTTGATAATTATCGATAAAGAATTATAAAGCTTATAATCATGAATATCTCGAAAGCTATTGAGTAGTTGCCCTCATAATGGTACATTTTCTCGAACTGGATGCCTAAATCTACAAACCTTCAAAGTCTCAACTAAATCAGTGACCCGAAGGGCGTGCACTCTCCTTGTTAGTTAATCGTCTGATATTACTATGACTCACATCACCGTTGCACTTTAAGTATGCCAGCAATTTCGTATATACTGTAATTTATAAATGAAATTAAATTATGCTAACTATGCGAAATTACATGTTATGCTATACAGTTTAAGCTCCGATTCAATGAGATTACTTGAATTACAAAATACGTATTTATTTATGAATACGTAAATATAAATTACTCGGTTGCCCTGATCGAGTTATATCCGGTAAAATCCCAAAGATATTTACGTTTCGTTCCTCTGACTCGCACTGTTTACCACTTTGTCTTTGATGCATAGAGTTTCGAGGGAACAGAGTTTCCAGTAGTCCAATAACAAAAACACTGGGCTCAGTGACTACTAACTTCGAAATACGAGCTTACGTTTCATCGGTGTTATCGGTATTCCATTCGTCTTTCAATCCTGTTACCAAATAACCTAACCTAACGCCAAAAATTCCTCCGTCGCCTCGCTCCTAGGTCATCTTCATCCAATGTTATACCTACAACGGCCCAATAACCGGTGAATAAAGCAACCGGTATAAGCAATAGTATCTTTAAAAAAATTACGTAACGGGAAATAATGAAAGATCGATTACACGTAGATTGGAAGAAAAATCGCGAGGACGAGCGACCGTTTTAAAGACGGTCATTTAGGCCACGGTACGTTTAGTGTTAATACCCTACCTCTTCGTTACACGAGTAATACCCTGTTAATTCCACACAAAATTACGTGCACGCGCTTCATTATATTACACTATTATCGCATTACAATCAACCATGCATAAAGCGTTTCTGCCTCAAAAAGCACAAAGAGAAGGAACACGAGAGAGAGAGAGAGAGAAAGAGAGAGAGGGGTATCGTGGAGAAAGAAATGGTGGAATAATGGAACGTTCGGATAACAGAATGCTCCTCTACCGCGAAGTATAGGCCGGAAAACAGTAGTTCCGATAACGAAGGTTAAGGAGTACGAAACTTTATTCGCGTTCGATTCAACGGATAAACGTTAATTCACCGATAGCGAGCTGCCAGAAGGCGTAAGTGGAATTACGTTTGTTTACATAGCTGGTCCATTTCGATGGAAAATTTTGAACGCAGACCGTCCTCGCCGCGACGCCATCGCGATTGCGTGCGCGCGAAATTCGAACGTACGGGTGCGTACGCATACGCGGCGTTCGTGCACGTGTGTATATTATTATCAATATCATCGTTTCCTCGTTTCTTGCACCCCACAATTACGGAGCATCGCCTGTTAACCGGTCATACTTCTTGTCGCCAGCGTGCAACGACATTGTAATTACACGTGTGCGAATCTATTTCATGTTACTCATTCTTCCTTTCCTTTTTTCCCCCTATTCACGATTCTTTCTAG